CCGGGCTGCCCATCATGTGCAGATATTGTAGTGCAGCAAGCCGTATGGCAGGGGAGGATCCTCTCCTTGCCAGCAGAGCAGTTCAGCTGTGTTGAATTACATTTGGAAGGAAAAAAAAAAAATCAACCAGTGAAAAGCTGCTTTCTTAACCTTGATATTCTCACCTTGTAGGCAGAAAACACAGCCACAGGCTTACAGTATGCCTTGAGGAGGACACTTTGATCATTGAGCTGCTGGAGTTGAGGCTATAGGAAGGCTCAGTTTGTAAGTAGGAGTTCTAGCATTACAGGTACAGGCCAAGGACCAACCAGAGAAAACCCAGCTAGTTACAGCCATTGGTTCCTATAGATCTGTCCTGTTCTGCAAACAGTGGTTGTGCCTGAGGGTGCTGCAGCCCAGAAGCAGTGTGCTGGAGAAGAACTGGCATGGACAGGGAAAAAAATCCCCCATGGCATACCATAAGCCTGAAATCTTCTCTAGGCAGATCTCTGAATGCCTTGTTTTTTCCCCTAGGACAGTTTAGCAGGATTTCTGGCCTTTAGTTCTGATCCCTTTGTCACTAAGCACTTCTTTGAAGTACTGCATGTAGGTACTGGCTGGTCTGACCTGCTTTTCTTCTGAACTTTCATTACTCAAAAAAATTCAAGGGCTTTTCCCATTGATAGCAAAACTCTTTCCCTTTGATGTATATATATAGTTGTGTGTGTTCTGTATGTATTGTATATGTATGATATATACATTAGTAGTGGGAGGTTACTCGTAGGAGGAGGAGATTCAGCCAGCCTGCATGGGGTAAGAGCATAGAGCTGGAGTGCAGGCCTGCCCTTGAGCTATTGCGTTCCAGAGTTGCTGAAGACCTGCAAGACCTCAGCTCTCCAGAGGCATCCATCTCTTCATCTAGGTGCTTCCAGTCTGTAAAGAGTTTAGGGTAACCCGTGAGGTGGTTTGACCTTGTCTGACCTGACTTCTGCTCAGGTGAGGGTGGCACAGAGTCTATTGTGAAGTGTCTCCCTTTCATAAGTGTCTCCTTTCTCCCAGGTGAAGCACCAAATCTGCTCCAGATGCTACTGGATAAGAAAAGCAGATACTAGTCCCAAAGCATGACATCAAAGAAAATCTCATCTCCTGAATTTGGGAGGAAAGTGTAAGCTGAAGAACAGTTTTCTCCTGCCCTTTGTCAGATCTTACCAGTCCTTCCATCTTCAGGAGCATGATGTGTCTTGGGATTTAGGGAAATGGCTGTCTTTCCAGTGTTGTCACAGGAGCCCCAGTTTGTTAGGAAGTTGGATGTCTCTGTCCCTTCATTTGAATTTTCCTGTGGCTCCTGTTTTTATTCCTAATCTCCTGGGGCACCACATCCCTGTGGTGTGGCTCTGCAGCTCAGAGACGTTACAAGGACCATGGATTCCATAGTTCCATGTTTATAAGAGAAAAATGTTCCAGACTGCTGATGCCTGTGGGTTTATGTGTGTGACTGCATGGGTGGCTGAATGAACCTGCTCTATAGACCAATTCTGTAGCGAGCAGCTGATTGTAGCGTAAAGATTATTGGAGAGTGGAGGAGCAACAGAAGGAAAGTAGAAGATTCTTCTGGTGGATTTGTAACAGCCCTGAGCACTGGTGACTGTTGTGCAGCTGCATAAGGGAAAAATGGGTCAACCGTTCTGCACCTCTGCTGCCAAATAATGGTAGCCCAAACCACAGATAGGAGGTAGAGAGAGAAAAGGAGGTGCAAAAAGCATTTTATTTTTTCTCCTTAATGCAGCAGAAAACTGCCACTGATGCTCTTCAGCAAGGAACTGTAGTGCTATCAGCCACGAGAATGTCAAAGGAGCATCAGGAATGCTTGTATGATTCGGTGGATAGTTACGGACAGATCTCCGATCTAGCCTAACCCATTTTGTCCCATGTTAGGAAATGTAGTGCCTGAGACCCTTCCAAAAATTACAGCAAAACCAGCTACTTTCTCCCCCTCTTCCTTTTAGCTGCTGACAGCTGGGGTGGCTCACCTTTCCTGTGTATCACAGAATCAGAATCACAGAAACATTTAGGTTGGAAAAGACCTCTAAGATCATCAAGTCCAACCCTTGACCAATCACCACATTGTCAAGTCAGCCATAGCACTGAGTGCCACACCAAGGCCTCGCTGGGCAGCCCATTCCAATGCTTAACAACCCTTTCCATAAAGAAGTTCTTCCTGATATCTAACCTGAACCACCTCTGGTACACCTTGAGGCCATTTCCTCTTGTCCTGTCAGTAGTTGCCTGGGAGAAGAGGCTGACCCCCACCTTGCAACAACCTTTCAGGTAGTTGCAAAGAGTGATAAGGCCAGGCTAAACAACTCCAGCTCCTTCAGCTACGCCTCACAGGACTTACTTTCTACTTACTTCTCACCATCTCCATTGGCCTTCTCTGGACATGCTCCAGCACCTCAGTGTTTTTCTTGGAGTGAGTGGCCCAGAACTGGACACAGTACTCAAGGTGCAGCCTCACTAGTGCTGAGTACTGGGGCACAGTCACTTTCCTTGTCCTTTTGGCCACACTATTCCTGATACAGGCATTGGCCTCCTGGGCCACCGAACATACTGCTGGATCATGTTCAGCTGCTGTTTAATCAGCACCTCCAGGTCCTTTCCCACCAGGCAGCTTTCCAGCCACTCTGCCCCCAGCCTGTAGCGTTGCCTGGGGTTGCTGTGACCCAAGTGCAGGACCTGGCAGTTGGCCTTGTTGAACCTCACACCACTGGCCTTGGCCCATTGGTCCAGCCCATCCAGATCCCTCTGCAGAGCGCAAATCAACACTCCCACCTGACTTAATGTTGGCCATGAACTTACTGAGAGTAAACCTTGATCCCCTCATCCAGATCATGTAAAGAGGCATCTTCCTGGTGCTAGTATTGTTAATGGAAAGTATTCACACTTCTAATGATGCACTGCAAATGGAAAGGCACTGCAGAGATTTTAGATGAAATTGCACATTTGTGCAGCATAGCATAGCCCTGTCAGGATTTCCCCGGACTTGCATGTCTCTGTTACATGTGAAACCTGCGGGGATTGTGTTGGAGGATTTTGCTTCTGGTTTCTGTTCCACAGTATGAAGCGCAGAACAAATGGAATGTAGCTTTATTCGAGAGCTAAGTTTGAGGAGGGGAGTCATTCTTGTGCAGTGATTTATCAGAATTGTTGGCTTTTCAGTGCCAGTGGTCTCTGAGTTCTGGTTTTATCAAAGGCGCGGACAAAAGGATTTGAAGAGCCCCACTCAGAAGTAGAATAGTAGCAATAAAAAACCCTCAAAAATATGGAAGTGTAAAAACTGTGGAGGGTCTTTTATGGCTTTGGAGACGCTCCTTGTTCTGTGTACAAATTTTAGAAGTACTCCAAATAAAAAAGGCCAGCTGGCCTGGTTCTGAGAGGCAGAAAAATCAGATACAGGAGGCATGAAACACTGTCTTTGGTAATAAATGTGTATAGTTCATTCATGTCAACAAAACGTCAGCAAGAACTGAATGGGGGCACTGTATAATTTAGTGGAAGGAGGTGATCCGTGATTGCACAAAGCTTTCATTACAGCTGAAGAAGCAAAACAGAATTGCATTGTAAATGGTAATAATTGGTAAAACTGATAATTGGACCTAGTATGCAGCTAATAAACAGTGCAGTGAAAGTTGTTACCATGGCTGAAAGGCTGGTAAATGCCACCATATTAATTTTACAGGTAAGTAACCAAAATACAGATACACCAAGAGAAAGATGCAAAAACTAGGCCTGCCTGAAATACCTCCTAGGAGTGTTATTTCATATGTGCCTGTTGTCCATGCTTCTCGTCTCCATACTGATATCCCTTGAGAGCTCATCACTATGCTTTAAGCCACATCCTTTCGTTGTCCACAGTATAGTTAGACATCATCGTGGGAAGAGCAGAGGACCTTACAGAGGACTGGTGCAGGGCAGGGCTACAGGGATATAAGCAAAAATCAGAGCTGCAGGCATGGTGGGATCTATGTGTTTAATTTTTCCACTTGTTTAACATGTAAATGTATATTCACCACATGGTTACTCTTTCTAAGGTTGTGGCAGTTTTTTGCTGTGTCGGGTTCAGCCATGTAGCTGATGTAGCATGTCTGAAAGAGCTTGGCTATGAAACAATACCAACAAGCACCTTCCTTTTTCATGCTTGCAGACATTGCAAGACACTGGTTGACAGTGGAGTGAGGAAATTGTGGCTTAAGACCTCCTCTGAAAAGCACTCTCATCTTAGGGAAAGACAGGAGAGGCAAATGATGCCTGTGGAAAGAGCAGCCAGGTGGACCCTGCTCTGGAGGCACACTAGAGTGTGCAGCAAGTCACAAGCAGTACCCTTCTCCTCCTCTTCTGCTAGTGGTTTGGAATCTTGTTTGTAGGTAAACAGAAGCCAAATTTGGGTATGGAGGCTGGGCAAGGATTGAAGGCCTCACTGCTCACAGGTAGCATGTGGGTTTCTAAAATAACTTGTGTAGTGTTTTCCCTACTCAGCTTCTCTTAACTTTGTGGCTGTTTGCCCTTCCTTGAGGCATGTTCAAAAAGTGTCCTCTCACCTTCAGGACACTTGACTGGAGAGGGGTCATTCTGTTGCTAGAGGCTTTCTATTTCCAGGGAATTAAAAGAGACTTGGCACTCTGTTACAGGTTAAAAATAATAAGGGACTGTAAAGTTAGGTGATGTAAATCATTATCCCATCAGCTGATGCTGATTGAGGATTCAGAGCTTTGTGTTAACTTGCAGTTGGTTTTGTGTCTGCTGTTTTGTACTCTGCGGTGTGTGCCTTGGGATTTGAGTGGTTATGAGTCCGCTTGAGTTTCCAACAAACGTCCAGCCATATTTTCCTTTCAGCTCCCTCCTCTTCCTGTTTACTGCTCTCTGTCCAGGCTTTAGGAGAAGCAGTAGGTCATCAGAAGGTGAAAAGTAATCGTTTTCATGGAGCCTCCTGTTTTCATAATTGCTTGGTTTTTTTTCTTTTCCAGAGGGACGGATGCTCATTCAGGACATCCCTTCCATCCCCAGCAGAGGGCACTTGGAGAGCACGTCTGAGTTGGTTGTGGACTCCACCTACTACAGCAGTTTTTACCAGCCATCCCTGTATCCTTGCTATAACAACCTGTACAACTATTCCCAGTACCAAATGGCGGTGGCCAATGAGCCTTCCTCAAGTGAGACAGGGGGTACGATTGTAGGGTCAGCCATGAAAAACAGCCTTCGAAGCCTCCCAGCAACGTACATGCCAAGCCAGTCAGGAAAACAGTGGCAGGTAATGATATTACAGAGATGTTACGTGGAAGAGTGAGGGGGACAGTAAGCTGTTTATTGGTCATAACTCTGACTTCTGCATTGCTGCTTTCATGTCAGTGCAAAACCAGAACCAGATTCTAGGGTGGGATTAGGACCCATTTTAGGCAAGTTAGCCTAAATGGGTAGTTAAGACGCAGCACAACAAAAGAGTGACATAGGTGGGCTATGGCAGTGGTATAGGTAGATTGTAACAAGCACAAAGGGCACTCACTGTACGTTTGGAATTACGTCGTAGTAGATTATGGACTATTTTACAGGAAGAGAGTCCAACCGAATTGTCTAACATAACATCCTTGGAGCTTCAGCTGTCATTTCTGAGAGGCTTTGCTCTTCAGAAACATGTTCTTTTCCATCTTTCAAATCCAAGGTGCCGAAGTGAAGCAGGAGACCATGCTGGTGGTACAGTGGGTGGGTGGCTGTCAGTTGAATGTGGCAAGACATTGCTAATTATGTGTTCTGGCAGTGACAGCTCCAGGGCTTGTGATTTTTACTTCAGTAGCTCAAGTTACAGGGAGTGCCTGAGGGGTTCAGAGCCCTGTGTACTTCATTAGTTGGGATATAAAGCTAACCAAGCCCTCTCACTCTATGACTTAATAATTGTAGCCTCCAACTCAGTACCAATCAGAAACTGGAAAATGGGGTAATCTGTCAGTGTGGAAGATTCTTGACAAAGTAAGTGGAGCCATATCAATGACTCTGAGACTGTTTGGGTTTGGGCTGCAGTGGTGCTTTTCTGACAAGATTAAATTGGTGAGGCTATACCCTCTGAGTCTGGGTGTGCCTTGTCTCTTGTTTAAGGACAGGAGAGGGCAGGCCCCTTCTGTAGAGCATCAAGAGAGGGCAGGCTGCTTCTGCAAAGGCTGTGTTGTGAAACCACTCAACAATGAAAGATGAAATGTCCACAGAAATCTCCTTTTGTAAAGGAACAGATGGGTCATCCCTTTTGCTGTCAGAGAGTTTCTCTAGCAGTTCTGGCACAGGGACCAACTCTGAAAGGGCATTGTAACTTCTGATACCAAGGAGCTGAAACTAACACCAATGTGATTACAATTACTATAACTTTTAGCACTATTCCATGTCCCTTTTTTTTTGCCATGAGGACAGCTCTATGGGATAAAGAGCTGTCTCTCTTCCTTCTACTGGGTGACCCCACATTAGGAGAGCCTTCTTTTCTCAGGGTTTTGATAGGCTTCACCATAGTCACCTTCAAATACATATAGATAGACCTTTCCAGTTCATAGCATCCTCTCTAGCTGATGAATTTGTTCACCTGACCAGGGGGAGAGCAAGCTGTAGGATTTTGCACATGGTAATTAAGTGAGGTGGTAGTTCTTTTTTAACTTTTTCATTTTGGTTGATTGGGTTAACCTGGTATATCACAGAGTATTTCAGATAGGAGTTTACTTCTTAAGCCTTTGCAGTACCTAGCTTGCAGATACTTGGAGACACCATCACAACACCATTGAAGGGCAGCAACATTTGCCTTATGAAAATAATGTTCTTACTGGCTGCTAGTCCCACACTTAACCTAGTGCACAGCGTTAGAGGAAGAGCTACATGAGGGTATGCTGAATCATGTTAAACCTTGGAATGAAGATGTGATGTCCTCATGTTTTTATCATTTGTGTAAGAAGTCTTGGCTTAGAGAGTCTGTGTCTCACTTGTGAGTTGTCTGTTTCTTGTGGGACCTTTGATGCCTCTTAAAGAAATAAAAACAATAGAGTGGTTTCCATTAATCTTTTTCTTGGGGCCCTGCAGAATCTCTTAACTAATTTCTGCTTAAGTGCCCCTCAAATTAGTGAGATACTGAAGAGGTAAGTAAGGATAAATGAGAGAGTTGTTGTCAAAAAGGACTGTTTCCTTTCCCCCAGCAGGCTCAAAGCTTTGGATGTCCGTTACCTCCTTGTGGGACGTATGCCGTGATTCCATTCACCTCCATGTAAATTTAATCTACCTTACCTGAGATTCCAGTTTCTCCAGACGAAGCCTTTTGGGATCCCTCAGTGCTGCTTTAGTGAGATGTCTGTGCAGAGAGACTAAAGGTGGTGATTTCTGCCTGTGGAAGTGACATCTCCCCAGCTTCTAAACAACCTAAAACCGGGACCCACCTTTTCTGTGCAGCAGGGCAGAGCACAGTTCAGGGTCATTGTTACGTATGTTACAAGCTGTTTCTCAGACACTGGTCTGCAAGTAGGATTGTTATTGCTGGAATAGTTATGAATCTCAGGGTTTGCATACTCTTATGACAGCATAACGTTGCACAAGCAATCATAAAAAGTTTTAGTGAGGGCTAGGCTAGAAAACGTTTGATGGCAGTGGGTGCAGTGGTGCCAAGGTTGTAAAACACTGTGTGGCTCTGAAGATGGTTTATTGTAAGAGGAACAAGCTCTCAGCTGCTGCACATGGTTCAGCATGGATTTTGTGCATGATGGTTACCATCAAGGGAAGATCAGAGAAATGGAGAGGGATGAATAATGAATTAGTTTTTCTGTCATGCGCAGTAAGGATTTACAGGAGAGTTTCATTCAAAGCATGATCCTTAAAGAGGAATCAGACCTTGTTTACGCCTTCAGGAGGTTTTGTTGGCAAACCTGTGCATAGCTGTTACCTACACCGGGAATTTTGCTGGACTGCCTGTACTGACTGGGCTTATTTTTTACATGCACAGGCTTTCTCAACAGTCTCCAGTAACAGTGAGTTTTCTTATCTGACTGGTATTGTATAACTGTTTTGGCCAAAGTTTTTGATTTTTATTTCTTGACCAAAAATCATAGCTGGACAGTGCCTGCTGTAATGAAATTAGGACAGCTTGCTAAGGTGTGAGCTCACAGGAAGGTTTCTTTGTTGGTAGAAGTCACTGATGTGCTCACTGGAAGGTATCCTAGTTTAAGATGTGTAGACAAGATGCCTGGCTTTTCCAAACTCACTTGGTGGACGCTTACTCATCCTGAAATAACTGTAACCATCCAGGGAGAGTTGCATACTTAAAGTAAGATAACTTCTGGATGCAGATAAGGCCTTGAGCAGCCCAGCTATCTGCTGTTTCAGAATTTAGGGAGCAAGGGAGAATAGCCAGGGAGGAAACATGTGACTCTGTGTGGGATGAGATGAGGATTAATGCATCATTGAGCCTTGGCAAATAAACTGAATCACTGAATCTTTAATGTAGATTAATGTCAGATTTCATTAGTCTTTGTTCTTTGTAGAGGCTTGTATGCTTGACTGGATTCATAGAGGTGCAAATATTTTATGTATTTTTGTGTAGGTTTTGTTCATTTATATACACATATACCAGAAGCTGTATCCATCATGATGTGATAAGCATAATGAAGATGATTGTTTTGGTCGAGACCTCTTCCATCATTTATATTCTGCTGCTTTTGCCAGCTCTAAGGCAGATAATCAGATATGTCTGATGTTGCACCTGAGGAAAACAAGCTTGAGTTGGTGAGGAAACATAGCAGATCTGGTGGTTACTGTACATCTGCTTTGATTTCAGTTCTATGTGAGCATCTGGACTCTCCCTTGAAAGTCGCACAGTTCTTTGTCACAGCAGGAATTTGCGTTCATTCAGTCCAATTAACAGCAAAATGAGTTTGCTGACATTAGTACTGCAAGTCCATGTGCGCTGCTGTACTTGAAAGTTGGTGCTTGTGAAACTGGTTGTGGTGTAACTGCTTAGAGGCAGCAATTGGAAATAATGGGGTGACTGCAGTCAGTCTTTTCTGCCACAGCAAAAGTAAAACTTGGATGGATGCGTCCACATCTAATCAGATTTGATTTCCTAAATTGGCAGTGAAACTGCTAGTGTGTGACCCACAGCATAAGGATCATCTGGACTCATTGTAAGTAAGCATCGTCCCCAAAATGTGTTTTAAAACATCTGGTTCTTACAAGCAGGCCATTAAAAATCAGCAAGATGCAGAATGTGGTCCCATGCTGTTTCTTTGTTACTCTGATAACTCCAGGGATCCTACTTCAGAAAAAGGTTAAGGCTGGTGTGGAAATTTTGGACAAATTTCAGAATTTCGTGTAGTTCATGTAATTTCTTTCCCCTCCTCCCGTGCCTTTTTTTTTTTTTTTTTTTTTAAATTTCTAATGCAGCTTGGCAAACCAGTATTCTCACTTCTAGAACCTCAACTTTTTTGTTCTTTCTTTATACTGGTTTAGTGCTAAAACCTAAAATAAATATCAGTGAGAGTCAGAGTGAGAAATTTTAACTCATGTTCTGATGTGGGAATTACAATTTGGAAGTGAAATATTTAGCATTGCTAAGGTAGGAAACTTAGAGGTACCAAACTTAACGAAGTGTCCTTTACTAAATCCAGAAAAGTGTTGCTGTGATAGGACAGCCAGCAGTTTGAAAAATAGCTGCTTGCTAATAAAAAAGAATGGGTCTTCTCAACTTCTACAACCTGCTTTTAGTTTCTGGCCCAGTTTTTCTTAAAAAACCTGTCCCTCTTACAGAAATGTGCAGTCTAACTCTCCAAAAGTCAGTGGAAAATGTGTGTGTAAATATATACACATTGTGCAAGTCACCCAAGACAATCCAAATTTTATGTGTAAGCAGTGTATTATATACTGTATTCATAACATACCCTTCACTCTACAGATTTATGCTAAAAGTATCGTAATGTTTTTGACAGCTCATGTGTGACATGAATGCAATCCGTATTTCTTGGAGGAGCTAATCTAAGCGGTTTATTTTCCGATACTGCTGATAGAGCTATATCTCTAGGTGTCACTGCAGTTGAGATTCTGATGGTAACATATTGTTTATGGGTCACTGCCTTTGTCTAAAAGAATAGGTTGGAACAGAATAGCAAAGGTTAATTAAGTTTGTCTATCAAGGAGGGACAGATATAGATGTCTTTTGTATTTTCTGTGCTAGAATCAAAGTAAGTCCAGGCAGGGTATCGTAGACTCATTTTTCCCTTGTGCTGGACAATATGCTTAGCTGGTTTTAGGAATGAAACAAAGCCACCTTGGGCAGCACGAGTAAAATAGTAGTTGTGAGGGGTTAGCACATGGGCAGTAGCATTGCAAGGTGGGAGAGTAGCAACAACCGTGGTTTACAGCTGCAGAAACTGAAACAGGGAAGCGTTAAATAACTTGCCACAGTCATACAGCCAGGTGTATACAGAGGTGACAGAGTGGAGCTTCCTGATGTCTGGATTTCCATTCCTGATGTCTGGATTTCCACTGCCCAGTGGATGCCTTCTTGCCCATGCCAAAATCTGACCTGTGAATCCTGTGTTTGCAAGCATCAACACATAAATGCAGTGTTATGCACCCTAAAGTTGGCTTTAAGATCAAGGCAGAAGGAAGAGGCTGTGTTAAAACTTCTAACAGAGTTTCTCTGGTCTTTCCATAATTACTAGTTTTTGTTTGGGGCAGCTGTTGGTGAGTCATGGGTGAGACAGAAGGATGGAAATCCTGTGTAAAGTGATTTGGCCAGAATCATGTGGCACACTAGTGGCAGAGCTGAAGGATTGCGCTTTGATCTCCTCTGTTGCTTTGAAATTTTTGCAGCCCTTGTCACCCAGAGGTAGCATCCATGACCTTCTCTTGCTTGTTGTCCGTCTTGGAAATAGTCAGGATCAACTGCAGAATGTGCAGATACTGCCAAAGTAACACTGGCTTGCTCTCAAGGAGATTGTGTCTGGCAGCTTCTGCAAATGAAAGAATTACCCAGGTGATGGTTTGCCTAAATGAATCATCTGGGAAGGGCAGGGCCATTTGCTAGTCTATTGAGATAACTGAGTCCCCACTTGTGCCTGCTTTGACTCTTTTCTGTCTCTCATCTGGCCACCTCCTCTCCTCCTCTCTTTCTCTGTGAAGAAGATATGTAGAGGTTATGCGGATGCTGCCAGGAGCTTGGAAAGAGGAGCCGGGCTTTACATGCTTTTCCACTAGGTGTTGAGAAAGCTTTTTTGCAGGAATGGGCTGATGTGAGAGAATTTTACTTTGGCTTCCCGTTGGACATAGCTGTAGGGCTGCACTGACTGTTTTGTTCAGTAATGAACAAGTATTGTTTCCAGCTTTTTCTGTCTCTGGGCAAACTGTAGCTGCCTCTCAGTTGCTCATATTGACTTTACAGGGCACAGGAAAGGAATTTCCACTGTATGCATGGTCTTCTAATCAGGTCATATTTATTTGTTCATGAATTTTAAGCTTCCCACTGTTGCTTGCAGTACATCTTTTAAAATGCTACTCTGTGTGTGCTGTGTAATACAATTTAGAGGAACCTGCAAATGTTGAACAGGCCAAATGTGCTGCTCCAGTGATGCGTGTCTCCGACTGTAGTCAGTGAGGCATTTGATGAATCCTGCAGCTGGGGCAGGGCACAAGCAGTGTGTGGCTGGGAAGGGGAGCAACTTAGGAGCTCAGCTTGCCTACCTAAAATGTACATCATTCTTATAGCACATAGCCTGTGGTGATACAAATGAGAGTGATTTGTGGGACTGTCCCAACCCATACTTGCCTTGGCTTTGCTGTGGGGCTGGAAGGAGCAGGGAAGGCAGAAGGAGACACCAGAAGGCCAGGCGTTCTCCCCCTGGGATCCCTGCATGATCCCAGCATTCCCCCTAGACAAGACCCAGGGCAGGATCCCAAACCTGACTGCAGCTCTTGGACGGCTGAACTGCCCCTCGTTGGAAATAATCTGAGTATACCGGTGCCTCCTCAGGGCTGTTTTTATCTCCCTTTTCGGCACCCAGAAACATACAGGGAATTAATACAGGGCTGCAGAGCTGCAGGAATTAATACAGAGCAAGTGTCCCTTCTCATGAGGTAGTGGTCTCCTACCCATTTTTAATGCAGCACTAAGGTCAAGAATTTTTACAACTGGTTGTTTTTTTATTGTTACTGTAAAATAGGATTGCTAAGCACTATAAAAAGGAAACCTTATGGTTCTGTTTTACTGTGATATGTATTCTAAACTGTTTAATAAAACAAAGCCAAAAGCTTTTAGATTTTCTTCAGCGGTTAATATACAGCATATTCTTTGCAGAGCCAAGCCTCTGGCTGTTGGTCGAACTGTGGTTCATAGACTTGGTGTGGGTAATAAGATTATAAAACATGTCTCTTGCTAGCCAGCTACCACACACTAATAATAATAGTAGTAATAATTCATTGCATCTAGACGGTTTAGGTGAGTTGTTTCTTAGAGAAAGGCAGAAAACCTCTAAAAAATGCTTTGAAAGGAGGCGAGTCACTGCACCTGCTTTACAGGGAAGGGAAATGTGAATGATCAGTTTGGTGCCAGGGAATGATCCTTCCATTTAGTTACAGCTGAAATAATTTTGTCTGCTGCAGGCAACCTTTTCTCTGTTGTACGTGTGCAGACATGCCCTTGAACAAGGGAGAGGTGGAGACATAAGGTCTGTGGGTGCTGCCCACAGCCTTGCCCACCAAGGGAAGGAAAACACACAAAAAACTGTGTATACAATACAGCAGGCAGGCAGAGAGGAGTTGGTTAACTTTTTTTCTCCGGTACTTTGAGAGCTGTTGGTTTTTGTAGATGTGCAGGTTCAAAATGCCCTTTGGACTGTGCTTTTGGGCAGTCTGTGTTGCTAATTCATAATTTCAGGGCAGAGTCGGCCTGAGTTTTGTTGAGGAAGTCTGCTTCCAAAGTGAAGAGTGCGTTTTGTTGGAAGAGGAGAGTGGATACCAGTGCTTTTTTTGAGTTCAGGCTTCTTCAGCATGACATGTTAATTTTTTTAACAGCAATTTACTATTTATTACAGATGAAACTTCAGTGCATGTTGAACTTTTTCTGCATGCAGAGGTAGAAAAATAAAAAATTTAAGTATTGCTTTTATTTGTAGTAAAAGAACTCTTAACTTTCACAAACTAAAAGCAAGTTCTACTGATTCCTCAGTACACGTGTAAGTATGTGAGACTGTGCAGCTGTGAGAAAACAGGCAGAGATGCACTTTGCTTTGTGTGAACAGCCACCATTCTGTCTCTCTCTTTCCCTCCCTCTCTCTCTCTCTCTTTCCCTCTCTCTATCTCTCTCTGTCTCTCAGTACTTAATCTCACTGCAAACCTGCCTCCGTAAAGAAAGCTGACTGTTGCCATCTGCCTCAGAGAGTACCAGCCGCATTTTTTGTGACTTGAGCCATGTTACTTCCAGCCTAGCTGGAACTATTAAGGGGATCCCTGGAAAACAAGGGATAACTGCATTCTGGTTCTGGGAGGTGCTGGTGGCTCCTACTGCCAGGACCAGCCCCTGGAGGTTTGCTGGCATGGGGTGGCCATCTGGGACAGTAGGCTCACACCCGGCCTCTGCTGCTCCGTGTCTGAGCTTTGCAGCCTGGGAAGGGCTGAGGAGCAGGGCTGCAGGCACAGCTGGCTGGGACCTGAGGGAGCTGTAGTGAGCAGGCAGAGCTCCTCCAGCCAAGGTGAGAGGTGGCTGAAAAGGCCTGACAAGCATGTCTGCTTACAAAGACATTGTGTAGTAGTGTAGTTGGATGTGCATTATTGTTGGCACTGATACCATTTCACCTGGTACAAAACTGCAATATTTTATCTCTGCCAAGAAGCTATCTATCTTACAATTATTCACTGCCCGGCATACTTAGGGAGACCAGCGCTTTGCCTTTCCTGTTGAAAATGTTAATGTTATAAAGTCTTTGGCTGCCTTTTTTGGAGTACCAAGGCCATGTTGCATGGAGGGCTTTGCAACAAATTGGTAGTTTTTCCATAAAACACAAAAAAGCATTACTGTTCATCTCAATCAGTTTGGATAATTTCAGGATATTAGAGTAGGATAAACTTTGATTTGTGAGTGTTACCAATTTGCTGCAGTGTGCAGGAGGGAGAAGGGGTTGTCTAGTGGACGCAGCAGACCAGGTGGCTGGTGCCCAGCTGTGGCTCCGTTACTGTCTTCCTGTGTAGTCTATCCACAGCTTGCTTTCTCTGGATAACTCAGGAAAATATTTTTCCCATCTGCCAGTGTTGTAACAAAAATAGTGTGTTTGTCTGTGTTGTCACTGCTCAGATGCCGTGGAGCATGTCCTGTGTGAGACAGTCAGTAGAACTGTCCTCCTTAGCCACCCTGTAGGTCTCTGGCAGAACAGTTACCACCAGACTGAGGTGGTGTAGTCTCTGGGGAGGTGTAGGAGCTAGATGAACACTTCACCTCTGACACTGGCTAGGTGCATGCACTTGAAGGGGACTGGAACACTTGTTGTCTGTGCTGTGAGCAGGGGACCTGAGAGGAAGCTGCTTGTGGGGAAGGGTAGGTGCTTGTGTACAGCTTCATTTGTGGTAAGGTAAAACAGCCATAGTTACGCTGCTGCTGATAGGTCACATCCCATACCATGCCAGCTCCCCTGTAGCTGATTGGTGTGGCACATTGTTAGCCCACCAAAGCAAAAACCTAAGGCCAGCATGTCAGGATTTTACTTACCACTGTGACCTCCTTCAAAGTCATGTGCGTGTACCCCCACAGTGGGGTGCCCCTGTGCTGCTGGGGCTTGGCTTTCACAGGTTGCTGTTGTGTTTCTCTCTCTCCAACAGGTGAAGGGCATGGAGAGACACCACACTGTCAGCTCCCAGTATCGCATGTGTTCCTACTACCCACCTGCTTCCTACTTGGGGCAGGGAGTTGGCGCTCCCATGTGCCTCCCCCAAATCCTGACCTCTGAGGACATCCCCTCCTCCTCGGAGTCAAAAGCAAGAGGTAAGTGCATCCACAGGGGTGCCTGTAATACTACAGGTTCAAGGTACAAGCTCATTGAAGGGGTTTTACTTCAAAAGTGTACAAGGCTCCAAAAGTCTACTTGCTGGATCTATTAGAAGGAGCCTTTAAAGCTCTGCAGCAGGTGAGTTCGAAAGGATGCCAAGACTGAAAACCAAGACACTGCTGACAGCTCAACAATAAACGCAATATTGATTACAAAAAGTGGCCAAGTAAATGGGAGCCTGAGAGACAGGAAAGGAGAGGAGTGAACAAAGCCCTCAGTGAAACCCCCACTCATGCAGGTCTGTTTTGTGAGGTTGTCTCACCGACCCCAGGATAACCAGAATTCCCCATAGCAGAGGCTGCATCCTCGGAGGGTCAGCAGGCTCACAAAGATCACAGGCGTACCCGCAAAAGGCAATGTTGTCCTTCATGTGAAGCTTGAGAACCCCGAGCATGAGCCACCTGCATTTTTTATCCAATTAGCTGGAGATGTCTCCCTGGGCCGGTGTGGCAGCACCGCCCAGCCAGAGGCCTTCGGTCCCTCCCCCGTTATGTGAGTGCACCCCTTCAGTGCTGAGTGAGAACTTTGGGATTCCCCTCACACTTGTGCTGTTTCACTCAAGGGGTCTTATCTGTTTGGGTCTGGGGGCTTTACTTCATCCTCTCCTCTTCAGTTTCTCCTTCAGACGTCCTCTACAGACAACCAGCCAATCACAGAACAGCAACTAAAACAGTTTGTACAAGAAACTGTCTCTCCAAGGACAAAGCTCCAGTTTATCAGTGAACATGGCAAACAAAGAACCAAACTTCTGCAGGTGGCTGGGCCAAAAACAGGCCTAAAAATATCAACAATCCCTGATACAAACCCTTAGAGAGTGTACAGGAGAAGACACTAAACATGCTTCTCAGGAGGTCAAATAACACACTTTTACTGGCAAATTTTAGAAAATAAGGGAACTTAGCAATTCTTTAAAGGGCAACATTCAACAAAAAAAAAGCATTCCACAAAGCACTGACTTAGCACATGCTAACCCATGTAACTTAGCAAAATCCAATCCATCCAGCTGTGAGTAAGTACCCAAATCCCAGTAAAGGAGATTAAGAAGAAGTAAAGAGAGAGAAAGAATTATAGCTACCACTCCAGATCCAGCTACCTAGAGTCCAGAAGATGGCAGGGCCGCAACCACACAATGGCCACACAGTGTTGGTTCTGTCTTCTCTGGCCCACTGTGGCCACCCCTCTCCCCAGGTGGGACATCCAGTGTACCAGTCAAGCTGGGGCTGGGTTAGGGGCTCTGGACTGTGGTGTGGAGGAGTGCTCTGGTGTGCAAGTGACTGACAGCTGCTCTGGGGCTGCCCAGGAAGGCCCAGAGGGGCTGGGGTGTGGAACAGGGCATCACCTCACCTTCGTGGCATTCAGCCTGTCCCTTCCCCTACAGAGATACACTTGGGTTGGTCCGAGCCAATAATTAATACAGCAGTCCAATGCCTCACAATGCTTGGGACTGCCTTGCCTTGGGCAGGCACCCAGGAAATGCAGGTTCTGGGAAGGACGCATAGCATCAGAAAGTAGGCATTTAAAAGATGGTGGCTGTTTTCTGGAAGGCCTGTAGTGTGGTGACTAAGTAAGGCTGTTAGTGTACAGTAGTGCAAGCTTATACTTCAGAAGTCTCATGGTTCAGGAGTCCAGTTAGTTGCACATCTGCACCTCTGTATGTCTATAAGTTGTACATAGACTCACTTGAAGTGGTGTCTTTGGTGTTTACCACCTGGCTTTCTCACAGGAGCAAATAATTATCTTCATCCCAGCCACAGAATTAGCTTTCCTCTCTTCTCAGAAATGCTGTGATTTTTTGCACACATCGCCCACTGAGCCTTTGTGTCCTTTTCTGTCTGAACCACATATGAGAGCTGTTTCTGCGTCTCAACCAGATAATGAAAGCCCTTTGTGGACTTGCTTCTATTTTTTTTCAAACTTAATCACACTGCATTAGTTAATTTCAAAGTACTACAGATAAATCTTTTTTTCAGTATTGTGTTTCAGGCTTTCCTGAGGATTGCAAGGCTCTGCTAAGGAATCTACAGTAATTTCCTGGAAAGTGCTGGTGAATTTACCCTGTGGTTTTGACAGTGTTTCTCTTACTTCCTTGTTCTCTTACTCCAGTAGCAGGCAGAGTGCACACACAGGTGTTAACATGTCTTTGCTGGAGTAAACCAGCTTAGTCAGGCTCATTTCAGCTTCCAGTATAGTCAGCTGTGGGGAATCCTATGTCACCCCAGAAACAGAGATGGATTCTGCCCTTGCATGTCTTGATGGCATCAAAGTACATTGTGTGCTGATGTCCAATAAAAGTTATACTCTTGTAGGTCTGATGTGCCAGGCCATCAGCTCCACACAGCTCAATAGATCTGACTGTCCCTTTCCTCTACCTGGCTGGAGGCAAGGCTATTTTAGTTCTGGTCACTTGTTGCTCACTTCTTGTAAATATGACCAGGAAGTCCCTTTAAGAGGATCAGAAGTAACATCAGCGCTTTTATTCTGTTAGACGACTTGCTCACTGGAAACTGGAGCAGCATTTATGCTTGAAGAATTCCCTGTGGTGGTGATTCTTCATCTCAACTCATGTACCCATCTGCTAGGACAGAGGTGGGTTTTCCATCCCTCTTCCTCTTGTCCTCTCTGTGGTCATGCAGATAAAAACACAGGTTACCTCGTGGTATGTACCCCCTCTCTCTCAGGGAGCAGGGTGCTTGTTCCCAATAGCAGAAACTGTGGTCCACACCGTGAGGCATGGGACATTTCCTCTCTAATTTGCTAATTAATAATCTTTCAAATCTGTCCACAATCTTGGACAGTCTTTACACAACCGAGGTGCAGGTTGGTAGGGAGGAGAAAAGATCACCATATTACCAGAGTTAGATAGTCACTGGAGCACTACTTGTTCTTCTTTCATTGATGTCATTGCCAGTGATGTCAGTGAGTTGGCATATGATGATGATGTGCTCCATACAAACTTGCACCACATGGATTGTGGACACTGGACCTCATCTGGATCTACAGGGGACTGCTCATTATTTGAATCCATATAGATTAACTCCAGCACAGCTGATTCTCTCAGGTACTGGATACCTTTCTCCATGGTCTTCCACCTACTTGGGTGCACTGTTAGACCATTCTTAAGTGAATAGATTCCTCCCTGCTTGACAGCAGTCACTTCCAGAGGCTGAGAGACTCTTGTCCTCTTCCTAATCCCTTTGTCCATGCCCACATCTTAGAACAGGGATCCCAGTTTCTTGGCTTCACTACTACCTAGTGTCATATCGTGAGCTGCGATATCCCAGCATCGGAGCAGCCAGGTCAACAGGGCCTCACCTGACTGGCAGCTGAAATATTTTTGCATATTTTGCAGCTCACCCAGAGATAGGGAGCCAGTGATTATCTGTAGCCCTGCCTCTTCCTCCTGTTACAAGGGCCCTACTTCTTATCTTGGACTTCTTATTCTGTATAGGAGCAGCTGCTGCTGGCATAAGTCGTTCCTCTGGCTCACCAGCAGTTTGAGTAGACTTGGTACCTGTTGGTCTTCTTTCCTCCTCCTCCCCCTGAGGGTGCTGTCTAGTGACCATAAATAGGGCCAGGACCCAGCACACTGCAATAAATTGCTTCTCTCTGGAGTTGCCCCAGCATTTCCTTGCAAATATTCTGTCACTTTAAGAGGGTCCTGTTGTTGTTCAGAACTTCCAGACCATTGGAGCAGAGAATTTCCCCCAAAATTGACCTGTTTTCTCTCACATTCCATGCCACTCATGACTCATTGACTCTCGGGGCAGATCTCTGAATGACCTTCCTAGAAATCTCTTTCTTGACTCTAAATAGTGTGTGGACTGCACTGAGGAGACCTGGCAGACTTAGCAACAAAACCATACTTTCCTTAACATCCAAAGGAAATTAAAAACTCTCAAAAGCTGTTGCAACAAGGCTGAAGGGGGAAAAGGGGTGAAAGGCTGGGGAAAATCATCCTCCCCTCTTCCCCTCACAGGCTGGGTACCACTGTTATGAATTGCCAGAAGAAGCACCCAAGGCCAGGGCAGGAGAGCAACTTTGAATACAATCCCAAATGACCTTCATTGCCCTTAGTGTTACCATACCAAAACTGATATCGCACAGTCCATTGACAGAACAATCCTGATTCCTCTCCCTGCTCTGAAAAAGATCCCTGGAAGAAGCTCATAGGGGAATATGTACAGGGTTAGGTATCACACCCACATGAACAAACAGAATAACATTGTGACCAGTGGCTCTGTACCTAATACACAAATGCCTAGATGAAATTTGTTTCCGTCTCGCTCTGGGCAGATCTGTTGTTATCTCAGCCCTTCGTGCCCCACACTGGGGACAGTTAAGGCTGGCTGGTATTCTCCAGGTTAGAACTCCTGGTAAAACTACAGCTGCTGCTTCCCCTCCCACACTCCTCCAGTTGGAGGCACAAAAGGCAAAGATCATGTGTTGAGATAAGAACACTGAGCAATGAGATAAGAAAACAGTAACAGCAACAATACTAATAACAGAAGTTCTCAGAGAGTGATTTACATGGGACAATGAAAAACAATGGCAGACAGACCCTAAGCCTACCGCACTTTCCCCCTACCACAAAGGAACACTGTTTGTCCTTGGGTGAGAGTGAGAGTGTCCCTCTCCTGCTCCCTAAATGTGATGTCAGAGGGTATTTAATAATATTAGGGTCTTGGCCACACCCACTCCTGCTTACCAGGGCTAGAACAGGACAATAAGCTTTTCACAGTTCTTTCTCTGTAGCATTTGGTGGATTTGGCACGTTTAATTTTGTATGGTCTGCAGGAAGTATTTTTTTTTTTCACTCTACTTTACACCTGCCACGTTTTTGGTTTTTTTCATGGTCACACCACTGGCAGCAGCATCCATCTTCATTTGATTCTCTGGTGCTTTTCTACATTTAAACTAGTCTTCTCCTCTTCTTGGG